AGTATGTGTGTGTGTGTGTGTGTGTGTGTGTGTGTGTGTGTGTGTGTGTGTGTGTGTTTGGAAAAGCAGAGATAGTTATTACTGTTTGAAGTATACTACAGAAATCACTGAAACTTGTAGCCAGCTGCAATGGTATGTGCCTATAATTCATCACTTTGGGAGGTCGAGACAAGAGAGTGGCCTGAGCTCAGACCAGACTGGGCAACATGGCAAGACCTTGTCTCTACAACAATTTTTTTAAAAATTAGCCAGGTGTGGTGGTGTGCACCTATAGTCTCAGCTCATCCTGAGCAACAGAGTCAGATTCCAACTCAAAACAAAAACAAAAGCAAAACAAAAAACTAGAAATCGCTGAAGGTTTAGTGATGATCTTTGTTTTGTTTTTTTTTGGTTTTTTTGAGTTGGAGTCTCACTTGGTCGCCCAGACTGGAGTGCAGTGCAGTGATCTTTGTAAGTGTACATGTAAATAACATACATGACCTAAGCAATCGCTGGTTTGTTGACAGCTAATTTGGCCGTATTCAAGTATATCTTTAGACTAAAATTTTTTTTAAAAAACCTATGTTAGCTTTTTTATTCACATCGCATGCCATAGCAACATTATTGATATTACTTTAACTTTCAGGCATATTAATTTGGCTTTTTGAAGTTCAAGTTTAGCTGCAAAAATTAGTTTAAGGGCAAGTAAACCATTTAAATGGCTTATATTAAAAAAACATGGTTTACAGATTTGATTTTAGGAAACACCTTAAATAAGGATGAATAAAATGTAGATTTTTAAAAAGTAAGTGACTGACAATGGCCCACAAGCTTTTAATTTTGAAAACAACAACAAATATTTATGAATTCCAGAGAGATATTTATGAATTCCAGAATATCCACATTTGATTTGTTCTTCTGTGCTCTGCTTTAACAATTTTTAGGTAGAAAAAAAGGACTTGTATAATATAAGTGCATTATTGGGAAAGTAAATAATTTTTTATTAAAATGTTACTGAGTAGAATGCTAACATTGATGGAATTCAGAAAGTTTTATATATATATACGTATCAAAAGAATAGAGGACCATTTCCAACATAATTTATATCATCTGTGATATTTTTGAAACAAGATATTTATGAAACAAGGCATATTTTTTCAGTTACTTAGTGATTTACCTTATACCAAAAGAATTGGAGAAACTTGAATATTAGTTTAATAAATTAACAGATTATCATTTTAACATATAGACACAAATAGATGCAAACTCTTGCTGCAAATGTGTTCGTCCAAGAAATAGTATTGTCCCATCACCTTAATCAAACTTAGTTACAATTTGAAAATGCTTTGATATTTGATTTCAAACGTATGACTTATTTTTTAAGCATACTCAAAATACAAAATCAAATCAAGCCACTGTGATGTCTGCTGTAATAAACATAGCTCATACATATAAGAACATGAATCTTAGAGATTCCTAGATAAATTTACTTCCTAAACATATAAATTAGCATTTCCTCTGGTTTTTATTTTGGAAATTCTATTTCAGCAAGATATTAACAGATAATAGGTGAAGGAAAATCTGAGTGTTTGGTGGTCAAGGATTATTTTTTATTGCAGGTTTTTGAGGGCCTTGTATATGCAGATTTTTACTGTGAATCAAAGAGATGGAGAGCAAATTGAACAAAAATCTTTTGCTTGATCACCTTCACTTATTTTCCGTTTTTAGAGTATACCATAGGATATCATAGTTGAAAGAAAGTTTAGAACTTATGTGGTCTATTCCTCCACCAGTGAACAGTCCTTATACTTGGCGTTGATTCCTCTAAATTATTTTTAATTACAAGGAAGAAAAGGACTAAGTTTTATTAGCCTGTCTTAAAAGACTAAGCTTGGAACCAAAATATTATTTCTGATTATTGTCCTTAGATGGTACAAAGGACCAGCAAAGAAAAATCAACTTGGTAAAGAATCCTCTACAATGGATCTCTTTTTCAATAGGAGACTTTCCTCTCCAAGGATATTATTATTTGAGAAGTGGGTTTTTTGAAAAAGTATGGGAATTGTTTATACACGTGTAGAAAATGAATAAAAGACTTCATATGAGCGAAATAATTTTAGAAGGAGGTCTGTTTGGTTTATGTTTGTCCCAAGGATTATTCTCCTAAGTAAATTTAAAATTATGTTAGGTGGCTCAGCCTGTAATCCCGCGCCTTTGGGAGGCTGAGGTGAGTGGATTCCCTGAGCCCGCGGGTTCGAGACCGCCTGGGCGGCGAGACCTCATCTCTACGATAAATCAAAAAATCAACCGGGCGTGGTAGCGCATGCCTGTAGTTCCAGCTACTTGGAAGGCTGAGGCGGAAGGATCGCCGGAGCCCAGCAGGTCGAGGCTGCGGTGGCCGGGAGCGGCCACTGCACTCCAGTCAGGGCGACAGAGTGAGACTCCAACTCAAAAAAAAAAAAAAAAAAATTATATGTTAGAAGAGTATCTACCCAAGTTTGTTGACTAAACTGGTCCATGAGAATTTCATTACTTAAGGCTCTAATCAAAAATTTTTCAATATGGGCACCAACTATAGATGACGATTGGGTCAGGAGAGGGAAGGTTTGTTTGAAATTGTAATTCAACTGGTGACAAATTCAAATGGTTATATTGCTCTATTGTACTTTTGTTGCTTATACAGCAAATACAGATTAATATTCCTCTTAGGCCTCCCAGTGCTCTGTTGAATAAAAATTGCATTGCATAAATCTGATTCTACCTCATTTTTAAACCATTACTAAAGAGAAAGGCACTTTTGCAAGCAATATTAAACGAATATACCAAAGCACAAATCCGACCCACTGCCTGTTGTGAATAAAATTTTGTTGAACACAGCCAGGCTCATTTGTGTATGCATCCTCCGCTGTTGCTTTTGTGCTACAGTGGCAGATTTGTGGCAGAGTTATAGTTTGCATATGATCTGCAAGGTATACAATATTTATACCCTTTACAGAAAAAACTTGCCAACTACTGCCAGTGTATCACATTACTTCCTAGTAATCAGCAGAAATATAACGTAGCTTTCATAGGAGGTTGCCATCCAGAATATGGTCTAAATATTAGACCATTAGACTAAATATTAGAAATATATATTTATATCTGTATATATCTACATATTTATATCTTTCTGTATATACAAGCATGTATTTAACTTTTTGGGCAATTGGCGATATTCATGTTTGACATATTGTTTTGCTACTGCAATACCAACACAAAACTTTTTTTTGAGGAGCTTCCCAAACACTCATTTTAGCTAATATTCTTTTAGGACACATAATTTTTTTATGTTGGGCTGTTTTTTAAATTCCCTTGTTTTTGAAGAAAATGTTTACCTGAGAATATCTCTCTTGTACAAACAATCCCAAAGTTGTATTCGAATAGATTAATAGATATTTATACTTAACTATATTTAGTAACATAGAGGCATTCACTTGGTTTTATATGTTAATCAATTTATAGTGACAAGATATTAATATTACTTTCAAATTTGATACAGAATCAATTAGTCATATCATTATTAAAATGTGACTATTATAAGGAAAAATTGTCTCACTTTATTAAATAGTTGATTTAAATTTGCTGGCATAGTTAGAGGTCATACAGTGTAAGGTTTTTATATGTACTTTTATCCAAGATTTTCTTCAGTTTGAAACATTTGCCTCCCTTTTTATCTTATTTTAATTAATTTTAATTTTAATTTAAAATTTTTTACTAACAAAAATTATCTGCTGTGCAATGAGATTTTTGCAGAGCAGAGAATAATATTTAAAAATTACAGTGTTTAAAATTAAAAATTGACTTAGGATTCTGAACTTCTACACTGGTACATTTTCAATCCCCTGTTCCTTTAATGATATTTTAAAAATGAGGTAAGTATTAACATACCTATTTTTAATAGGCACACTTTTGCCTAGATATTGTTATTATAGTTTTAAAGGTATGATCTTAAACAAAGGATATGTATGTGTATGTTTCCATTCCTACCAGAGCACACAGTGTTTGTGAATTTACATGACAATATTTTATTATGGGTACACACTTGAGTCCACTAGGCTTATTTCTCCCAGTTTGTAGATTTGTAGTATATGATTGAGATTTTTAAATTATGCATATTTATGAGAAATGGAGTTTCCCTATAAATGTCTTCTAATAAAAATTATAAATATGCTGTTAAAATCCTTTTTCATGTTTGCTAGGATTTGCTAACTGAATTTAGTTTTTGTTCTAATGAAAGTTTTTAAAGACCATCTTAATATCTATAATTGATGTGTTTTGAGGTAACACCTGTTATAGAGGGCATTCATTCTCATTTTATAAGAGGCTTACAATCTCACTTTCTCACTTCCTTACACTCTATTTTTTTTTAATTTACACTAGTAAAACTTTGTGATTTTACTGGTATGGTATGTTATCAGGAGTATTGTTCCATAAGCCTCTTTCTTGATCTTAGTTCTAGAAAATCAAAAGTTCCTGATAACTGGATCCACATGTATCGTACAGGAAACTGCTTTAATTACAGCCTTATTTTATGATAATAGTTTCTAAATACAGTTCTAAAATTGTATTTGAAGCCAACTTACAACTTTATTACCAGTAAATAAATCAAATCACAATGAACTAAAAGTCTAAGTTCTTATAATTATATAATTAAGTGCTATCGTCAAATTTGTGTGCTGCCAAATATATTCTCCTAGACACACATGTACCAGAAAGTGTTTTCTATCTAATGAAAAATTGTCTTCTCTTCAAACTCATTTACATTTTATTCAGATTAAAATTATTTTAAATATTTAATAATCATGCTTTTATTTACCAAATTTCATACTTTAAATAAATCTTAAAATGACATTTGATTTGTGCATACTACCTTGAGTGAAAGTAATATATCAGACTAGCAATTTTTCTTTTATACATCCTGTAAGTAGGACTCAGAAATAAGAACTGAACATTAATATTATGGGTTTTTTTCTACTCGATAGGTGCTATGGATATAGAGGAGAGAAATCGCCAAATGAAAATTAACAAATACAAACAGGTAGCCGGATCAGATCCCAGACTGGAACAAGATTACCATTCAAAGGCAAGACATTTTTCTTTTTAAAAGTTCTAAAATAATCAATCATATGAAGCAGTTAGATTCTTTTAAACCACTGGATGAAGATTAGTCAAACACAAACATATAATGCAATGGCCCCATAACATTATTAATTGCTAAAATTTTTAATGTGTTCATATACTAGTTTTTAGTGATAGAATGAGCATTACTTAAAAAAATCTTATCTAATATAGAACATTAAAGATCTGAAGAACAAATCTTTTACAATTTTTGTATTTTATAAAACCTATAACCCTTCAAAAATATTTAAGAAGAACTTCTATTATTGTCTTATGATTTTATTTATGTAGTAGTTTTTCCCATTTTATAATATTTTAATTGAATTTGCTTTGTTCCTGAATTGTTAGAACAAAACCCAAGTGATCCTTAACTTATGATGGCTCAACTTATGAGTTTTGTACTTAAGTATATAGTGGAAAGCAATCCACATTCAGTAGAAATTGTACTTAAAGTACCCATACAACCATTCTGTTTTTCACTTTTGGTATTCAATAAGTTTCAGGAACTATTCAACACTATTTTAAAACAAGCTTTGTGTAGATGATTTTGCCCAACTGTAGACTAATCTTAAGTGTTCTGAGCAATTTCGAGTTGGCTAGGCTAAACTGTCAGTAGATTAAGTGTATTAAATGCATTTTCGACTTAGGATGTTTTTAACTTACAATGGGTTCAACAGGACATAATCCCATCATAAGACACAGAGCAACTGTACATATTCTTGATGTTGTTAGGAGTTCAAAAGGTCATTTAGTATGAATCTTTTAATCTAACTTTTGGAAATCAGTTGAGGTATGAAGTCTACTGAGGAAGGAAACAAAAAGTATTATTTCATTGCTCTTGCCCTTCATTGTCTTTATATTTCCAAGATATTTTTAGGTTTATAGTATTATTCATGGCAAAAGACATGAAAACACTTTACTCTGACATACCTATTAAAGATTTAATAAAAAAATGAAAATAGCAAAATTTACTCATACCTTTTAGCCATTATGTGCTCTATGACTTAGTAATTTAATCACTGAAATCATGTAATATTTGTGGTCTCTGTGTATTAGAGAAAATAGTTTGTATTCTTATATTCGTAGGTCTTTATTGTCCTTACATAGTTAATCTTTAGTTTCTCTCTCTGTTATATTCTATTGGAATACCTTGGTAAAGTCAAGAACGTATTAAGTGAAGCACAAGTCGATATGTTGAATGTGCGTATGTAACAGGTAGCACCAGTTTCTCACTTCTCTAATAATACCACCTAGAAGAGGCAAAGATTCTTAAATCAGTGTCTACTTCTAAACTACCAGTTTCTTCCTCAAATTACATGAATATTTACATGATGAATACAAGATGATTCATCACAGAATTCTGGTGTACTGTAAATGTCACAAGCCTCAAGTCAGAAAGAAGTACATTTAAGACATAAAAATAGCCTTGGCTTTACTCACTAGCTTCTGAAATTTTTCACTGAAATGAAAACATGAATAGCTTCAAATGGGTAGATGAATTTAATGGAAAATAGTTCTGTAATGACAGAGTATTTCAGATACATCCTTAACTATTTCAGTGGGATATCAAAAGTGATGTCTATGTAATTTTTTGGTATTTCTGCCTAAGGTTAAGCAGATATACCTGACTTTTTGTGGCATCTGTTATGCTCTAATCGCTCATCTATTCATTTTGTATAATCAAAAGACCAAGGCATGAAGTTCTAAGAAAATAGGATATTAAAATTTTTGCAAATGTATTTATTTATATGCCACTATACTAAAATAGTATATTTGTCCATATTTTACTATATATTTGTTTGTTTATACTCTACTATACTTCAGGAAGGAATGTAGATAATTTATAAAAATACAATATTGTTAATAATATTTTCAATGAAGACAAGAGTATCAAGAGACAATAAAGTCAGGATAAAACAAGGTAACTCCAGTAAAGTTTTCAAACAAAATGCATTATGTGAGATATCCTATACACCTACTACAAGTGGGGTATGTATTTTGATCCTGAACTTCCTAATAAGCAGTAAAGTCAAAAAGGGAAACTTGATCAATTGTGTGATTTACATTGTTCACACAATGTAAACAAGTTCCTTAGAAGCAATAGCAATGCTTTTTGTTACAGATACCTGACAAAAATTTATTACAGGAGGAGGGACCAAAAGAATACTATAGGCATGTCTAAGATTCTTTTTAACAACCAAACTTTGATTCCATTCCAATTCATGAATAAATATTTCCTTAAGGCTTCAACATTTTATAATTTGACACCAATCATTTTAAGTTTGGAAAAATTTAAGTCTTGGTAAAGGATTAGCTGTACTAAACAATATAATATCCTAGGTATTCTCTAAGACAATGGTTTTCAAAGTGTCGTTCCAGACCAGCAGTGTCAGCATCACCTGGACACTTTTAGAAATGTAGTTCTCTGGGTCCCCTGCAGAACTATGGACTCAAAACTCTGCAGTTAGGGTCCCTGTGCTTTAACAAGTCTATCAAGTGATTCTTCATGTCTGTTAGATTTTATGGACTAGTGCTCTAAGGTGAACTGATTGTAAATTTTACTTTTAGATAACTGAATGAGTTGACTTCCTCAATTATGATTTTAGCTGGAAGCAAGGGTGAATAATGTCATCAAAAACTGAAGACTAGGCCAGGTGCTGTGGCTCATGCCTGTAATTCTAGCACTTTAGGAGGCCAAGGTGGGAGGATTGCTTGAGCCCAATAGTTCAAGACCAGTATAGGCAACATAGCCAGACCTTATCTCTACAAAATCAAAAAGGAAAAAAAATTAACCAGGCCTAGTAGCATGTGCGTAAAGTCTTTTTTTAAACTGTTACAGTCCATATTTTAAATGGCATTGCTACCTGAATTTCTCAAAACTTCTACTTTGATAGTTGTAAATAAGTCTTAGCAAAATTTTTAAGTCTTAGTAACTCATTTTGAATTTGCATCTATAAGAGCTATGCTTATTAAGTTACTGTCTTTCTAAGAATATTCTAAGAATCCTAGGAAATTTGAAATCAGAGAATCTATTTTTATTTATTTATTTATTTATTTATTTTGAGTTGGAGTCTCACTCCGTCACCCAGACTGGAGTGCAGTGGCCGCTCCCGGCCACCGCAGCCTTGACCTACTGGGCTCCAGCGATCCTTCTGCCTCAGCCTTCCAAGTAGCTGGAACTACAGGCGCGCGCTACCGCGCCCGGCTAATTTTTTGATTTATTGTAGAGATGAGGTCTCGCCAAGCTGCCCAGGCGGGTCTTGAACCCATGGGCTCAGGCAATCCACTCACCTCAGCCTCCCAAAGTGCTGGGATTACAGGCTAAGCCACCAAGCCTGGCTAGAAAATCTATTTTTAATAAAAGCAGCAAAACTCATGTGGAGATAGGATTCCTGTTAATCAATGGGTAATTTCTCAGGGAGTTTCCCTCAAAATAGAATTTAGCGAGCCAGGCTCGGTGGCTCAGCCTGTAGTCCCAGCGCTTTGGGAGGCTGAGGTGAGTGGATTGCCTGCCCGCGGGTTTGAGACCCGCCTGGGCAGCGAGACCTCATCTCTACAATAAATCAAAAACCAGCTGGGCGTGGTGGTGCATGCCTGTAATTCCGGCTACTCGGAAGGCTGAGGCGGAAGGATCGCCGGAGCCCAGCAGGCCGAGGCTGCGGTGGCCGGGAGCGGCCACTGCACGCCAGTCTGGGCGACAGAGTGAGACTCCAATTAAAAAAAAAAAAAAAAAAAAAGAATTTAGCAGTGCAGTCAAAGCACTGTCTCTTGTGGATTGTGATCTCTTGATCCTAGCTTGAATGTGATTTGTCTATTCTATTCTTAGCAGTAACTTAAAGATCAGCTTATTTTTTTTTCAAATTTAAAAGTACCATTAATACTTTGCCACAGGTCAACTACCATTCTGCGAGTTATATAATAATAAGTTAATGTAATTATCAAAAATTAAAAGTGGATAATTCATCATGTTTATTTAAACATAGGTTTATTTTTAAATTAACTACATTTAATATTTTTAAATGTTTCCAAAGCAATACTTTTATGAAGATTTTTTTAAAGAGTGATTGATAACATTGCAACAGGTAATGCTATATACAGTTCATTGGCACAGTACTTATTGAAACTCAAAGCTAATTTCTCTGGAGAAGCAATGCTCTTTTTTTAAAAAAAAGCACTTTGTGGTAATGCTTCCACAAAATTATCACAAAAATATCTCATTTTATTATATTATAATTTTCTGTACTTCTATTTGTCTCCCTAGAATTAAGAAGCAGTATAATCTATGAGTTGCCCAAAACCCTTCAAATATGGGCCGGAAGCCCAGAATAATGTATTTAACTCATAATGTAATAGACCGAGTTAATGGTCTAGGAACAGGGAACAAGGTAGTAAAAGAAAGGAAAGAGAGTTTTTCTCCATTCCTGTGTGCATGCCTGACCCTAGGCACTTCACACCTACATCCTGTCACCTTTCTCCCCAGGCTTCTAAAGTTCTTTGACCACCCATTCACTGATCTCAAAGACATATTAGGAAGAAAGCAATTCAGTTAAACTAGTTTGCATTAAAATATGAATAACAATACAAAGTTTAATTTTTTAAGAAAGCTCCTAAGTCAAAAGAAAATATTTCAGAGAGTTAAAGAAAAAATATTTTTGGCAAGTAGATTGCCACTGTTAACAAAATTGTTTCATTTTTTAAGAACTTCTCTTCTCAACAGGGAGAAGACAAATTCAGTGCTAGTCTTGTGTTTTACATTGACTTTCAAGACATAGGCAATAAGGGCACCAGAAAAGGGGAGAAAGGTTGAGGTTGAAAGGAGCAGCCATACATGGGCTGTTTAAAATTGGATGTTTGTAAGTCAGGAATACTCTGAGGCCCAAATAACACCAGAATGTGACAACAGAGCATGAATACAGGGTAGTAGGTGAGAGCACCGCATAGAGTCCAGCAGACTCCACCAAGATG